CATAATGTTGGCCATTTATCAGGGTCAATACCCAAATGCGCATTCGCCACCGAGTTCGGGGGTCCATGGGGGGTCAACGAGAAAGGAAGGACATGGTCTCGGGGTCTTCACAAATCCTCACTTTATACAAGCAGCAGGAGAAAAGACCCTCGTGGGAAATGATCTGCGCCCGGGCAACGACAAACACTCAATTATGGGGGGCTTACGGCGGACTCCCGCAACCCCCTCCCTCACGTCCCTTGGGGTGTGTGTGGGGGGGGGGGGGACATCAAATAGGACCAAAGGACACTGCTAGTTTGAGGGGGTTATCGGGAGAGAGGCTGGGGAGGGGGGGTCTTCCTCTTGTATGGGCTCCTTGGTTTTGTTGCACCGTATTAAATCCGTCATCCCCTCCCGGAGTGCCCACCACTTGTCTTCAGTTGTCATGTCGTGTGTGTACCTAATCAAGTGGCTCCCTGGTGTACCTAATAGAACGACAGGGGAGACGAAAGCAATATAGACAGATTAAGAATAGATAGACCTATGATAGACTCAGACAGACAGAAGGATCTAGAAGAGATATACAGTATAGAACTACCCAAAACTGTTGGAGGACAAAAAAAATGGGGATGGAAGGGTTAATTTGATAATTTTCCAAACCTAAATAATTATTTAAAAAAAAAGAAAAATCAATGAGGTGGAATTAATCGCAATTGAATTACTGTAGCATTATCATTACGCGTTTGATACACTTGATAGATGTTAACACAGGTCAAACTCAATCGTCATGAGCCTGGAAACTGGGCGTCTTGCCCCCTTTTTCAGTCTTCTTGACAGTTTACAGTGAACAACTGTGACGTCAGCTCGATGAAAATGTTAAGTGAAACTAGAAATGCCCAAAATTAAAACGTGATTTAACTTTTGTGCACCAAATAAATGCACCACAAAATGACTAGCGCCAAAGAACAGGCATAAATGTCAAGCCTCAGTTGTTTCAAAGGTAAACAAGGTATTTTCGCGATCTTTTCATATGCTAATTAGAGCGATGCTAATTTAGCAGCACTGCTATGCTAATACACGATGCTCTAAACTAGCAAGTTTCAGTCCACCACCAACAGGTGGCGGTACACACACAGTTACTACACCTAATATTTTTTGGGGGGGGGTTGCTCCTGAGTTTTTTTTTTTTTTTTTTTTTTTCTGGTGGCTGCTTGAGGAATGATTGACAGTTGGCCGGAGGTCCCCAGACCGCCGTTTAGCAGCTAATTAAAACGTAAAGCAGACAAAGCGCGCCTAAACCTCCTGACAAAAGACCAAGCTTCTTCTTGGTCTTTTGCACAGCTGCTAAAGCAAACGAGACATGAGACACATGAGACACGGAGGAATGACTCCGACAACACAAACACGTCCAGCCGCCACAGCTGTTCCAGGGCGCAGAGCTGCCCTCAGTGGCCTGGCGCCATCACAGGCCGCTGCTGCGTTCAGGGCCCCCTCAGAAATAGCTGCGCTGTCGATACTGGATCGAATATCAATTTCATTACATGTCGGCTATAGTTGAAAGGTAAATATTGATACAACAAAATATGATATGTGATATCATATGCAGAGGTTATGGTCTTACTGTGCGGAGCTTGCATGTTCTCGCCGTGCCTGCATGGGTCTTCTCCGGGGACTCTGGTTTCCTCCCACAATCCAAAAACATGCATGATAGGTTAATTGAACACTATATTGTTCCTAAGTGTGATTGTGAGTGTGAAAAAATTGGCACACACACACACACACACACACACACACACACACACACACACACACACACACACACACACTTGTCCGTTTTTTGTCGAAGCTCGCGTCGTTCTCTGTACCCTTGGATAAAGGTCGATGGAATCCGTTCGATGGTATCGTAAATTCCATTTTTCCTGTCGGCACCTGAATGCAGCAGGTGATTATTGCTTTGCTGCTGCTCTGTGGCTTCTGGCGCTGAGTTAATCTCCTCGGCCTCGATAACGCGCGATCGCGCACACACACACACACACACACACACACACACACACACACACACACACACACACACACACACACACACACACACACACACACACGCACACACGCACACACACAACACAACATTTCCTCCTGATCACCAGGCCAATTATTGACATTTAATTGGCTGGTGGGAGCAATTTTATCACATGCAAAAATAATGTCGCTTTTGATAAGCACTGTTTTTTCAATGATCATTTCCCACGGAAATCCACTGGATATAAAAAGTTCCCTTGACAAAAACATCAACCACAAAAAGCACCTGTTCTCTATGTGCTTTATGAGCCCAGCGAGATACCTGATCTTATCGCTGCAACCTAAATATTTACATTTGACGCCCAATAAGATCAATCAGACCACGAAGGCAGCTGCTCACTCAGTCTTCATTTATGTTTTCATCACACCAAGTGAGGATCAGCGTATCGACAGCTCAAAATGAAGCAGGAAATGACGCCGTGACGGCAGACCTGAATTAAAAGACTTGATGGCAAATCGGCAACCTTTGCCACCCACCCACAAAAACAAAAGTACAGTTCTTTGGGACTCATTCATGCCCTTTGGTGTAGCATATGATTTTCAAATTTGATAGCGATTGGACGAAATCTCCACGGCAAGCCCTGTCTTTTGAAGGACACCTCGAAAACATGATTCAGAATGGCCACTTTAACCACAGTGACAGACTTCTTATCTTTTTTCAGGTATGACTCATTGAAACTTTTTTGTGGGTCTTCTCACGATAGACATGTTGACCAAATTTCATCATGCTCAGTGCAAAAGTAGCTGTTGATCACGAAGGTGGGTGGGACTTTTAGTGTTGCTGTCAAATGCTTGGGAAGCACCGACCTATGGAAAAGCCTTTTCTATGATTTTAAAACTAAATTCTCTCTCTCTCACTCTCTAAAACAAAGTGGGTTTTTTTGTTTTGTTTTGTTTTGTTTTGTTTTGTTTTGTTTTGTTTTGTTTTGTTTTGTTGGAGTGGGCTACCATCCTCAGCTGTCTTGGGACATACCGAGGACAGGAGCGTTTCATTACGAGAGTCGGGGGTGAGAAAGTGAGCCCTGATTAGCTTTCTAATTAGCCACTTTAAACTCTAAGTAGGCCATTTGCACTCTGCACTCCTATCTCTATTTCTCTTGGCTGTCTCTTTGTGTGTGTGTGTGTGTGTGTGCGTGTGCGTGTGCGTGTGTGTGCGTGAGTGTAAATGTGTGGCAGCTGCTTTCTCTCATTGTCTTCATTGGCGTGCGTGTGTGCATGAGGTTTAGCCGCGGTTACGTCACAGCTGCGCCATGCAGATCGGGGTCCCGATGAGGGGATGATTGACAGGCGGCCTCCCGGAATAGAAGCCAAGGCAGGCCTCGGAGCGCTGGCTCGTCGGTGTTGGAATCTCTGCGCCGTCCCGCCGATTGGACGGGACCGAGTTGCTAATGAGGCAGATTAGGGTGTCAGAGGAGACACTTTTGCCAGTCTCGGGGGGGCCTCTTTAGTCCACTCAAGTCTCTCCTGACAAGTCAACGGGTCAACACTGACTGACGTGTCAAATGGCACATTTCCACGGTGGGAACTTTTGGCAGAAGTCACAACTTTTGAAGTAATGATGGTACCAGTGTGTAAAGTTAGTTCTGAAGAAGAGGGAACTCTTGTCTGAATTAAGTTCAGGGGAAATGGAACAGGGCCAACAGAGGTTCCGCAGTTTGACTGGAAACAAACAATTCCCAGAACTCTAAATTCAATTTTGGGGTAATTGATCAGGTTCAAATGAAGACCCTGCTGGAGGGGGTGCATTCTTGTGAGAGATCCAAGAACCTTTCAAGCTTAAAGGCAAAGTCTGTCACTCTGAATTTATCTGCTAGGAATGTTTTTTTGTTGTTTTTTTTTGGTACTTCCAGGAACTACTGTATATGTAATGCGAACTAAAAGTTCAGAATACTTTGGGTGTAACTCCCTTATGGTTTTCTGATTTCCACAGCTGGAACTTTGCCCAGAGCGACTAACCTTTGCAGCACAATTGCCAGTCGGACCACGGGAACTATTGTCTGAATTTGGTTCCGGTGTATTTTACTTTGAATAAAATTCCATCAAAGTCAAAATTGCCTCAATTATTTCCACAAAGTCGCCGTGTGATTTCATTTCAGACCGGGAAAGGTCAGATGTTTGTTTTTTTGGTTTTTTTTATCCTTGTTAACTGCCGCCACTCCTGTTTTCTCGCCTCGCACAGAAACTCATTTTTTTTTCATTTACTTCCAAAACTCATTTAAATTAAATTAACTCCCAGCCAGTTCACTGCGATTGCTGATTATTTTTTTTCATTATGTGACCACTGCGGACAGAGAGATTATGTGTTCCAGACATGACATGAGAGTTTTTTTTTTTTAAATTGCCACAATATAGAGCAAACATAACAGAATGCTATTTTGGGGCCACAAAATACTTAATACTCTTCTATGGGTGTTTGTATTATACTGCCCCCAAGTGGCCAAGGCGCTCCCTGAGAGGAGCAGCACGATACCCATTCAAGTGAAGCATAAAAATCACAATAAACAATATTATTGCAGGCAATTTTACTCATAAAATAATTAATTGCGCTTTTTTGGGGGGGGGGTGGCTAGTACTAACTAATGGCATTTCTATTCAAACTGAACATGAAGAATTTCAATTGTTGAATTTGCTGTCGTCACCTAAATGGAACATCTCAAGAGCTTCTGTCAAAATCCCCCCCCCCCCCGCCCCCAAAACTCTCACTTTGCCCCGCACACCGTTGCACCCCCCTCCTCCCCATTTCCTGTCGACACACTTGAGCAAAAGTGGGCAACAGCAGAGCAAACTGACGGGCTGTTAGTCCCGGCCCAAATCAAGACATTTTTCTCACTTCATTTTATTGATGATCATGTTTATTTCGGGTGTTGTTGAGCATTGGATTGATCATGTACCGAATGAAGTGTTCAGACTAAGGTGCACGTGCCGCTGCGGGACCCGGAAGTGGAGCATCGGATGGCGGAGGAGTTGGAGGGGGAGGAGGAGGATGATGAGGGCGGATGGAGAAGGCGTGACGTCGCTGCCCGCAGAGAGGCCCACTCCTCGGCCGGCCGGGTGGCAGACAAGCAAACAGCAGAAGCGGCGGGGGGAAACGAAGAATAGCCGCCCGGCTACGCGAGCTCCACCCCGCGCGGTGGATGTGAAAGAAGAGAAGTGGGAGGAGGAGGAGGAGTTGAGGTGGGGGACACGCCAGCCACCTCCACCGGGCTCCACACACGGTGGGACGAGGAGGGGAGGGGGCCGGTGGGGACATGGAGCAGCCATGGGTGCCCACGCACGTCCAGGTGACGGTGCTCCGAGGCAGGGGTCTGCGGGGCAAGGGCAAGCACGGCACCAGCGACGTGTACGCGGTCATCCAGCTGGCCAAGGAGAAGTACTCGACGTGCGTGGCGGAAAAGACCACCGAGCCCGAGTGGCGCGAGGAGTGCTGCTTCGAGCTGCAGCCCGGCGTCCTGGAGACGGACGGCGGCCCGGAGCTCGTCCTCACCGTCATGCACCGCGCCGTTATCGGGCTCGACGTGTTCCTGGGCCAGGCGCTCATCCAGCTGCGGAAGCTCTTCCACGAGAGCCGGGGCGTGAAAAATCAGTACGTAACATCTCTCTTTTCTCCCACTTTCCGCGAACGCATCACGGCTCTTCTCCTCATCCCGCTTTGGGGATGTCAACCTATTGCTGCTGCATCGACACACCCTCACACCAGCACACCCCCCCCCCCCACACACAGACACACAAAATTCGGTACCTTCTAGAACCTTCTAGAACACACACCCGTTTGTTTTTGTTCATGTTGTGTTTGTTGTTGTGTTTACTGTTTCCCCAGAGGGATTATGTCGTGTCCCCTGTCCCAATTCCAGGGATTATCTAACAGTTTGGTGGTCCCTCTTGACTAAAAGCTTTTTAAAATTTTTTTTGAAGCACGGTGTTTAGCACACACCAAGTGAAAATGCTTGAGGCCTTTGCAGAGGTTCCTCCCTTGTCCAGTCCGTTGTTTTTGTTTACATGTCCCATCATGGCGCTCAGACATATCATTACGAAAAGATAATTTGGGCACAACATTGAAATAATGAAGTTGACAGAAGTCACCGAAAAGCAGGGGGGTGTCCAAAGTCAGGATCAGGGGCCATTTTGTGGCTTGCAAGCTTGTTGGGTCATCATGTTACAAGAAACACAATGGCCAACTTCCTGATTAATTTGCGTCATGGGTTCTTGAGACTTTTCCATGTGTCCTTTCGTGATTGATTTGAAGAATTTTTACCTCAATCTGTGCAACCAGTGGATGGAGGGAAATTTTATTCCAATATTTTGGGGTTCTCCCATAGCTCCGCCAAAACCGACTAAACAGGTGTGCTTACAGCAAAAGTTACATTTTGGTTTTAATGAAGTTGGAATTTGTTGTTGCTCTCATAGTTTGAGACATTTCGAAACCTTAACAGCGAAATTCCACGACCCACAGGCCGGGGGCCATTTTGCAGCCCCCAGCCTGTTTAATTTATTTTGGTACGCAAAACCTACTGACAAACCGACATGCCAAAATTCACGATGATTGGTGAAACTCGTCAGGGATGGGGGGGAGCTAATTTTGTTACAGCTCGCAGGAAAGTAACTAAATATGTTAGGTTACATTTTGCTTTGATTCAAATTCGAAATCATTATTGTTCATTACCACGCGAGACATTTATTTTAAAGCCTGAACACACACAAGGGAATCAAAATGGCACTTCTTAGGGGCCATTTTACGGGCCACGGCCTACTTACTTTATTTAGGTATGAGAAAACAAAATGGATGACTCGCTGTTCAACTTCAGGCGTGGGTTGTTCAGACCTTTTCATGCATCTCGTCGTGATGGGCCTGCCCACCAACTTTCGCATCGATCAGTGAAACCGGTGGTTTATTATTGCTCACAGTTGGAGACATTTCGAAACCCAAATGAAACGCCACATCCTGGGCGTCGTTTTGCCGCCCGTGGCCTATTTAGTTAACCCCAAATGACTAACGATTCAATTTTGGACGTGGGTTCTTGAGACTTTTTGGGCATCCTGTTGTGACGTGTCTTTGGGCCTGGTAAAACTCCCCAAATAAACGGGTGCTTTTGCCGCAAAAGTAACATTTTGCTTTGGCTCAAGTAAGAATGTGTTTCCAAACGCGAACCCACCATTTAAAAAAAAAAAAAAAAAAGCCATACTGTTACAAAAACCCAAACGGTTCGGTTTGGATCACGGGTCCTTGGGGGGTTTTCGTGACAGACCTGCTCGTCAAATTGCGCTTTAATATGGTGGGTGGAGGTATAACACTCCACAGTCTTTATTTTGTGTGTGTGTGTGTGTGTGTGTGTGTGTGTGTGTGTGTGTGTGTGTGTGTGTGTGTGTGTGTGTGTGTGTGTGTGTTCATGTTTACTTTTCACTCGACTCCGCTTGTGTTGTGTGGAAGAGACTCGGACTACTTCTGGTCACTCCACAGCGTTGTGTGCTTCCATGTTTATATTCCAGTCGACTTTATCAGTTTATCAGCGTCTAGAACTAATCTACCGTGGGAGCTGGAGGGGCTTGTGACTTCCTGTTTTTGAGAGATGGGCAAGCAGATGTGCTGTTACGCTCTGCAGCTCCTGGAACATTTATTAAAAAAAGAAAAGAATAAAAAAAGGACGACAAAAGGCGCCTCCAGCATGGCAGGCTAACTTGGGTGCTTCTGCGTGGGCAAAGTGGTGCAGCAAACTGCACCTTTTTGATGTGCTGCATTGTCTGTTTTTAGGCCTCACGGTCACTGGTGCATTTCTACACTTGAGCTGCATTTCTGCCGTCTGTGTGCGAGGAATGCTGATGCTAAAGCAACACTAACAGCAAAGCACTTTGCTTCTTCACGTTGTTTTATCATAAGGTAAGAAGAGGCGTGCTAACTTAAGCTAAATGTCACATGCTAACAGTAGATAAGATAAGATAACCCCAGTGTGGGACAAATAAAGGTTATCTTATCTTATCTACTGTTAGCATGTGACATTTAGCTTAAGTTAGCACGCCTCTTCTTACCTTATTATAAAACAACGTGAAGAGGCAAGATGGATAGATATGTGTAGTACATGTACTTTGTCATCACCAGTGAAGAAAGCTAAACTGTGCGCTAGATATGAGCTACCAAATGCTAACTCAATAAGCTTCAGCTAATGCCTGTTTGTGTTTAGCAGAACCAAAACCTGTTACTGGCTACATCCTACGTTGCTAATCCTCCGTCGCAAATGGATTTCAAACTATTTTTAATTCACCGCTGGACTAGTTTTCCCCTAATTATAGTTGAGCTTTTCGGCCTTTTTGATAGCATTCCTTCGTCAGTAGAATGGAATGACTGAAAACTAGGATGATCAGGGCTCGTGTGTCTTGGTAGCTGCATAGTAAACATTAGCCTCTTGCAACAGCGACAGTTTTTGTTCTTAAGAAAAACACGTTTAATCTAATTCTGAATGCTTCTTGGAAAGGAGCAGGAAGTAGGCCATGAAGAGAAAAGTCCCAAGTCGGCCACTGCCTTAGGAATGTGAACTCCACCTTGGCTGAGGGGAGTTACTGCGCTTCTATTGTTGAAGGGGAAACTTGAGTCCACGCCTCGCACAGTACTGCTGTAGGCTGAAGAACTCCTCAAACACATTAAAAAAAAAAAATTATAAATGCAGTAACAAATTAGGCCTGTCGCGGATTCATCAAAAACAAGATGTTATTTTCAAAAAGTATATTTGATATTCTTGTAAGCCACTGTGACATCATGCACAGGTTGAACATTCACACCCCTCTTAAAATGAAAGGGTGGGAGTTAGGGGACCAGTGGGTTACAGTTAAAATGCCAATTAAATAGGGTTAGGATTTGGGATTAAGGGATTGGGGTGGTGGCGATTGTGGGTTAGGTCTTGGGTAGGGTGAGAGTGAGGGTTGGGGTTCGTGCTGGAGTTACTGAGTTAGTCGGGGGGTTGGGTTTCGGGTCGATGGTTGGGGGTTAAATTTGAATTGCAATTAGCGGATTGGGGGTTCGGGTTATATTTTCAATTGTTTTGAAAATAGAACAAGGTTAATTTAGTTTTGGTCAGGTTGGGGTTAGAGCTGGTGTTGAACCGGTGGCTTCAAGTCAGGGTAGGTTTAGGGCTAGGTTGGTGGTATAAGTAAATTTGTGTCAAGAGTCGGTTTAGCAGGTTAGGGCAGGGCTCGGTGGGTAAAGGTTAGGAAAGGGCAAAGGTTAGGGTTTAGGGTAGGACTTGGGAGGTTGAGAAATTTGAGGGATTCAGGGTAGGTTGGATTTGAGGATTAGTTCAGGCTTAAGGTGAAAATAGAATCGGGTATAAGATAGCTTCCTATTAAGGTTCACAATGTAGTCTTCCAGTTGTGCTAGTAGGTGTTGGTTGTCGAGTGGCTTTCGAATGCGTCTGCGCATTCCAGTTTTGTGTGTGTGACTCCACCTCAGAGCAGGTAATTGTTTTCTCTGGCATTCTTCACTGTGTGTGCGTGTGTATCGCTGTGTCCGTGCCAGTGCGAGCAAAGTACTGAAATGGAGGTCAACGTTAGGACAGGATAATATCCCCGACTGGTATTGTATTACTTACAAATTTGTCTCTTTTCTTTGAAGTTAATCCTTTCCAGGATGCTCCAAATGGGACTTATTTTGCCAAGAGAGATCATAGGTCAAAGAAAATGTGATGTCATCACTTATGTCATCAAGGTGAACGAGACATGTTAACGATATGGTTGAAGTATGCCGTATTAAAAGCTAAACGGTAGCACACTTAACTTCTTTAAAGCTAAATACCACATGCAATCGGAGAAGTCGGATGTTGTTAGTTAGGTGTGTGCCTAAAGCCTGATTTCAAGGGCCGGCGATCTAGGTGTGCTAACCTGTTAGTCAACTCTGGTGAGCGATTTGGTGTTTGATGAAGCGCGTAACTTTTCGCTTCTCTCTTGCATCTAAGCTAATGGTGTATGTTTGTCTGCCAATCTCTCCAATTTTAGCATTGTTCACACTCACCATTAGCCCATTGTGTCAAGTGAAAAGCTAAATCGTAGTGTGCTAACTCGCTAACATTGACTTGTCATGCAATCCTACAGATCACTGACCGCTCTCGACTTTTTATAGAGATGTAAATGATTGGAGGTTTGTGTTCTTCTGTTGTTGAGGTGAGGAAAAAAAAATAACAGAAAAGAAAACAAACTTCCCCCCAAAAAAGCACCAGCTCTCGGTTTTGTTTTTTGTGCTTATAAGAGCTGGGGCTTTCTTTGTGTTTCCAGTGAGTTAACCTCTCACTCTGTACCTTCTACTGCAATATTTCTTGTTCTTCCACATTAATCTCATCCAAGCACACACACTAATCATGCCATTGTTCACGTTGTATTTATTTTATCGTGCAAGTTGGCATTTAACCCAAACACTGCACACTTGTGAACCATTGGAAACTGTGAACATCTTCGATTGGGGGCTAATTTTTCTCGCGTATGTTTCTTTATGAGGTGAAAGTATAAGATGAATTGCATGGCATGCACCTATCAAAATGTTTTTCAAACTGTACTATTTTTTTTCTTGTCGTTTATTTCTGTTGTGATAGCTATCTTAGACAATTTGAAAAAACTCTCGCAACACAGTAAATGTGTGACTTGATTACATTGCGTGAATATGTGTGTGTGTGTGTGTGTGTGTGTGTGTGTGTGTGTGTGTGTGTGTGTGTGTGTGTGTGTGTGTGTGTGTGTTTTCAGTTGTTAATTTTGATCTGTTGTGCTTATTTCTCTTGTGCAAGGTGGCGGACTTCGTGAATAAGCTTTATACATTGAGGTATTATGGGAAGTCTAGCCAGACACACACACACACACACACACACACACACACACACACACACACACACGCACACACACACACGCACACACGCACACACTCGGGCGCTGCTTGGCAGGATAAGCCTCATTCAAATTTACAATACACTCATTCACTTCAGTCAGTGACCCACTTTAAAGTTCTGCTTCGAAAATGTGCACAGTGGTAGAGAAGCTAAAGACAATTGTGATTTACAGTGTAGTAAGGCTTGCTACTTTTTTCTAGTTACAAACCGTTTATTGCTCTGTATTTTGAGCTAAAACTTTACTTCAGATGCACCGCCGCTCCAGTGAAGTGACGTAATTGTTTTTTTTTGTTTTTTTTTAAAGCAAAACAGTGCCACACTCGTAACAACCCTTTCAGCTGTTTATTGAACAGGACCAACAGCCAAACACACAAATACAACATGAAAACACTCACAAGGAGCATGGGGCAGATATTATCTGTTCCATGAGATGGCGCCAAAGTCATACTTTTTAGTGCTTTGGCCTGAGCCCCAAAAAGTTTTTTCAGCCAATCATGAAGGATAGCGCCCCCCCCCCCCAAAAAAAGCCCCGCCCAAACCCAAATTCACAGTTGCTGCTGTCACTGCAATGGCGTTTCTGTTTGTGTCTCTCCAGGTGGTACCGACTCAACTCCAAGACCGGCAAGAAGGAGAAGGAGCGAGGTGACATTCAAGTCAGTGTCCAGTTCACGCGTAACAACCTGACGGCTAGCATGTATGACCTGGTCATGAAGGACAAAGGGGGCGCTTCCACTTTCAGCAAGCTGAAGGAGCGGATGAGGGGCAAGAGGCGATCCAGTGAAGACGACTTGACCTTGGCGCCCGGTGCCACCCTACCCGGGGGCACCGGCCCGCTGTGCCGCATGCGCCAACGTCTGCCCAGCGACGGGGGCGGCGAGGAGGACTACGAGGATGACGAGGGCGGCGAGGTGAGGCGCAGTAAGATGAGGACCTTCTTCCTGCGAGGCAAGCTGAGGAAGTCGTCGGACACGCGCTCGAGTACGTCGTTGGGCTCCGAGAGCAGTGAATCATCGTCGCGCGGGGGAAGTCTCAGTCCCACGGCCGGCATCAGCGTGGTGGTCTCCGACCTGTCCAATTCGCCCAGCAACAGCAGCAACCTGACAGCCGACAGCCCAGGTGATACAGACACAGAACATACATGGCAGATTGCTTACATACAGTGGTACCTCTCCTTACGAAATAAATTGGTTCTAGAAGAAATTTCTTAATTGGACAATTTTGTAAGTACAGATGCGTTTTCCATGTAAATGCCCTAATCCGTTCCAAACCCCCCTAAAATTCAGACATAAATGTTTTCTAAGAATAGAGTAAAGAATAAAAATGATGGTCATCTAACTTAAATGCGTCCTCATCGTTTTTTGCCCTCTTTAGTTCAGGTTTTTGCCTGACGTTTTGAAAAGAACCGATCCAAGGACATTTGCTTTTGTTGGCTTTTAACAATCCTTCGAAAATGTCCAAGGCAAACATCAGCATAGTGAGCGATCGCCCGACTGATGAACACTTTTTCTGGGTGATTCACGTTTACGTACAACTATCGAAAAGCCTCATGGCCCGAGGGGCGAATGACGAGGACTCTGCTGCCATTTTGTGGGGCAATGTCAAACCTTTGTGGGTGGGTGTCAGTCACTCATGGATTTTTGCTACTTGCGAGCTTCATCTGTTTCCCAGACGACTGTGTGGAGTTTCACTCCATCCAACTTGGGGCTAATAATGCAGTCAAAACTAGTAAGGTTTAAATCTCCCACTTAGGCTACGAGGCGGCATTTGAACAGACACGGAAATTTCGTATTTCAGTGTTTTCTCATGACCTTGTTTTCCTCTTGTCATCATCTCTTCAGATCACACAGCAGACACGTCACCCAAGTTGTCTCCTCTGCACTGTGACTTTCGTGATGAGATCAGTGAAATCACCATAGCCGTGCCTCAGCTCCCCGCGGGTGTCAACGGAACGCACAAGTTGCAGCCCCGAGATCAGGCCTCGGCAGTCCCGGAGACTTCTTTAGGCCCGGGGCACCTGGAGAAGTCTTTGCCGCTCTCAGTCTCGTTACAGAACCTTCGCCCACGGGCCTCCGCCGACCCCCTGCACGGCACCGTGGGCGACGGACGACGCTGGTCTTTTGACAAGGCCGGCGAGGAGGAGAGCGCCGCCATCGCAGCGGCCATGGAGAAAAAAGGCCCTATACCGGGCAGAGAAGATCAGTGTGAAGAAGGCGAACAATACTCTGGCACGGAGGGAAAACACAAAGGATGGTTCGGGTCCAGGGAGTCACACAGTAAACCCAGGTGAGTCTTCTATACCAGGGGTGGGCCTTGCGTTTGGTACCTGAGCCTTCCGGGAGGCATTGACCTGACTCATTCCAATTCCTACTCCCACCACTATCATATCCCAATCATAGAAAGCCTCAGTACTACAAAATAACAACACACTGGGCCATGTACATGATCCGGAGTGGTTCACAATCAATATTTATCTCACGTGACAGAAACATTTAAAAAATGTTGAAAAAAATATACATTACACTCACGAATGATCCTACTTTTTAAGTGTATTGTGTTTTGATCGTCAAAGTTACGCTCAGACCAACCAGAGGACAGAAAAGAAAAATGCTGACATCAGTGCTATGAGGATGAATTTCAAATCTGATCTGAACTGGAACAGTCCCATTGCTAATATTTTACATTTCATGGTCCACGACTACGAATCCTGCAGAAGACCCTGGGCAGATTAGCTTGACATGGCAGTAGAAAGAGACTGAATTATCATTAGACAAAAAACAAAATCCAACATCCGCATGTACAGCGAGCAGTCCAGCCAGGAAAAACTCTCCAACATGAATAAAATAATCATCACAAATCCCGCCCCCATGGTTCTCCACTGTACTTAAAGTAGATCAGATTGAGTGTAAGAGCAAAAGCCTTTGCGAGGCCTTCAGTTCAGTTCAGTGTGAACCACCTGCACTTAACCAGAGGACTGTGTTCGCTTCCTTCCACAGCCCGGTGGCACCTCTAAAACTAGACCCCACCCCTGAGCCACCCCTTAACCAGCTGCACAACTCTAACCCCTTCTGTCCCTCACCACCCATGTCACCTAGCAACCCTTTCCTCAGCGACCCGTTCTGCGATACGTCGCTTCCCCCTCTGCCCTTTCTTTCCAGTTCCCGGCCTCCCATAGAGCAACTCTTTCCAAAGCCAAGTCATCCGGTCACCCAGACTTGGGACAGTCAGACTACCGAAGGCCACGTCACTGGCTTGATCACAGTTGCGTCTCCAACTTTCATGGGTCAGACAATACCCTTAAGCAAGACGTTTTCCAACCCCTTTACATCTGCAGAGGAACCGCAACATGATACAGGATGGGACAATTCCTTTGATGACTTTGCCCATTGCAGGCTGCAAGGGCCGAAAGACCAAACGTCTGACAGCTTGGCCAGCACCCATCAGCGGGAACTTGGCAGTAATGAAAGAAATGATTCCCTGAATACCAAAGGTATCACATTGAGCAACTACATGGCAAACTGCAGTCGCCTGCCCTCCTTGGAACCAATCCCGGAGGATTCAAGTTTAGAGGTCTGTAACGAAGTCTTTCACACTTCCGCCATCTCTGCGGAATCTCGTCCTCACCCCGAATGGCATGACGCTAACAGCACCACGAACATGCCTCCCTGCTTCTTGGATCCAGCTGGTTCATCGGGTATCGTTAGTTCAGCTGAAGATGATTTCCCCTCCCGTTTTTCATATTCGGCATCAGAAAAGTTCTCAGCATGTTCCTCGGATGAAACTGAGCTGCAGAATTTCGAGCGGGTTGGTCCAGCCTCGGAGATCTTGGCCCAAACAGGTATCAGTCCAAAGGGTTATAGATCTACAGATGAGCTTTTGAATGATGAAGCCCAACAAACTGTGATTCAGAATGAAGATTTGGAGCAGTCATTCGTCTTCCCACCACCACCAACTATGTCTACCGCAATGATGACTGATTCAGAAGCTGCAGACATGCAGATGTTAGAGAACATGGATCTTCAGCCAAAGTCCAACGTCATTCCGCAGTCTGACAATAATGATGGGGTACCTCAAGGTGAATTCTCTGGACAACCACCTCTGTACATCCGCACCTCCTCCCCAGGAACTGACCATTCCTCGTCTTTTGAGGACCCGGCAGTGCCGGAGCATTGCTGGGAGTCTCCTGTCCCCTTCAGGGATTTTGGAGATCTTGACCAGAGTACCAACAGCTTTGTCCAAAGCATCCATGTGGCCGCCGACTCACAGTACTACCAAAATTGCAGCTCTCTACCGCCCTTAGAATATCCTGGGATTTCCAAATCAGCTGAGAACTCAACCTTCTGCGGGGAGTTAGGACAGATTCGGGAAGCCATCGTTGCTTCAGTCAGTCCAGATGAACCAACCAACCAATCTGACCACTGGGGTTTGATGCCGGAAAACAGACCAGAGACTGGTGAAACAGGTTTCACAGTGAAGAACGAGAGGAGTTCTCAAGTTCTCCCTGCAACAGACATGTTTCCGTATCCTGTTGAGGGCAATGAATTCAGTTCTGTCGATGTCCAGATTGTAAAAAACCCTCCACCACAACTCCCCGAAATATCCCAGGACGCCGGGAGCTTTCTCCAAAGCATCAATGGCAACTTGCAGTTCCACCAAAATCATTACGGCATATCAGAGCCACCAGGGACACTAGACTCAGAGAAATCTAGCTTCTTTGGGGAACCAGTAGAGATTTCGGAATTCCAGCTGTCATTGGTAATGGCAGACAGACCAGATATTTTTGAGCCGGGTTTCTCAGCACGGGACGATGAGAGTCCTCAAGTTCTGTCTGTAACTCATACAGACTCGTATCATAAGCCCACTGGTGACGATCAGTCCACTGATCACAGTGATTTGCTTTTGAAAAACACTCCACCACAACTCCTCAAAATTTCCCAGGGCACCAGGAGCTTTCTCCAAAATCTTGACAGCAACTTGGACTACCACCAAAACCATAACGAGCCCACTGAGAGGATTGATTTAGAGAAATTTGCCTTCTCTAGAGAGCTCGGCGAGATTCCGGAACCCACCTATAATTCAATGATCCCTGGGGCTTCTCCCAGTGAACCAAACAACCGGGAAGACTCGTTTTCTTTGGTGACAGAGAACAGAGCAGATACTTGTGAGCCAGATTTCACAGAAGACTGTGACTTAGGCTTCACAGCTAGGAATGATGGGAGTTCTCAAGTTATCCCTGTGACTCCTACGGATTCCTATCCGAATGCCGTTGAGGGCGATCAGTTCACCGTTCTCGATGACGTGTTTGTGAACAAACCTTTGCCAGAACTGTCTTATATTTCCCAGAGCACTGGGAGTTTTCCCCAAAGTCTCGACGGCAACTTGCAGGACCATTATGGCATTTCCAAACTCCCTGAGAGTGTCGTCTCAAAGAACTCCTCCTACTGTGCGGAGCTAGGAGAGACAGACAGACCAGATACTCATGTGCCAGGTTTCACCGACGCTTGTGAGTCAACTTTCACAGAAAGGGACGATGGGGCTTCTCAAGTTCTCTCTGCAACATCAACAGACTCAAATCCCAAGCCTGTCAAGAGCGATCAGGTCACTGCTTTCGATGACATGTTGGTGAAAAACCCTCCGCCACGACTTCCCCAAATTTTCCAGAGAACAATGAGCGTTCCGTCCTTCCTCTTATCTGAAAATCGCCATGGCGTATCCAAGTCCGCTGAGAGGCGACCCTTGGAGAAATCCATCTCCTTTGGGAAGGTTGGGGAGGTTCCGGAAGACACCGGTTCTTCACTGAGCCGTAGGAGTTCGACTAGCGGACCATACGTTAACACGCACATCACCGACTGGTTGACTCAAGTGATGAAGGACAGACTAGATACAGGTTTCAATGGAGGTGACCACGGGAGTTCCCAAGTTCTCCCCACAACTCCAGTAGACTCGAAAGCCGATGAGGTTGTTGATACCGCGATTGAGCAAAACCCGCTGCCGCAACACCCCGCATTAAACCGCAGTCATTCCGAGAGCACGTTGGCTTTCGAGTTGGACAAGACCCTTACACTCTCCTTCTGGAATGAGTCCTGCGCCCCCCAGGCGTCATCCGCAAGTCCGGCCTCCCCCTCCCTTTCAACAGCCTCCGCCCCTCCACTAACCCGTCAAAGTAGTTGCTTCCCCTCTTTCCTGTCCTCCCTTTCGGATGTCTTGCCGCCGTCCGCCACAACCAACCTTCTGGAGGCACAGGAATGCCAGCAGCAGCACGTCGCCCATCAGGAACACAGGTGAGGTTGCCCGTTCAGGTGGGGGACCACCCCCCCCCCTTCCAGTTTTCCAGACTTTTACTGGCTCTTTCGGCTGCTCCCACCTGCTTCTTCCTTTGTCCCGTTGACTCTGAAGGGGATCCTCTTGGTGGTGGTGGTGTGACCTTCTCGTTTTTTTATCTCTCAGTTAACACACGCGGACTAATCCTGCCGGGACTTCCTCCATGGGTATCGTGTGTGTGTGTGTGTGTGTGTGTGTGTGTGTGTGTGTGTGTGTGTGTGTGTGTGTGTGTGTGTGTGTGTGTGTGTGTCCTTTCTCCGTGTTAATGGGAGGGGAAACACTGCCTCGGGCCAATTAGCAGTTATTATTTTGCCCTCCGATTTCTAACACAACCCCTCCCCCCACCTCCAGTCTTTCTCATTGTGCCTCACACGAACACACACACACGTACCTCCCCCCCTCCTCACAGGACCCGTTCTCACACATTT